CGCAGCCGCCTGGGGCCGTGCGCGCCTCGCCGAGCGCTGCGGCGGCCAATGTGTCCGCACTTGTCGGGCTCCCCAGGTGACTCGGGCCCGGCAAGCGAGCCGCGAGCAGCGAGCGCGCCCCAGGTAGGAGGATCCGCCTCCCGCCCGCCTCCTCGCTCGCTGCGCGCTCTCTCGCTCCCCGCGCTCCCCTCCCTTTTCTCCTCTCTCCCCCGTGGCACAGACGCATCTACCCCGGCCCCCTCCCCGCCGGCTCCCTCCTGACCGCTTTCCCGGGCGGGGGCGGGGGAAGGCGCGGCCAGGAGACACCTGCGCCCGGGCGCCCGCGGGGGTGGGGGCGGGGCGGGGGGCGGGCGAGGACCTGTGCAGGTCCTGGTGGCCCCGGGGCTTTCGTTTCTAGTAGGGGACGGATATACCGTCCACGCTGTCTCCTAGCCGAGTGCACGTCCCCTCGTTCCAGAAATTATCCACCTGGGGTCCGCAGGCCACACCCTCAGCGCCCCCCAGCGCTGCCTCCCGCAGACCTGGGGGGACACAAACACACGCACACACGCGCACACACGCCCAGGCACCCAGCCTTGCAGCCAGGGGCGCTAAATTAGAGACTTCGAAGATGGACAGACCAGCCCGGCCACAGATAGGGCGATGGCACGGGTGACCTCCTTGCCAAGCACCATGAAGGAGGGCAGGGATGCTGGGGAGGCCTCCCAGCCTCGGGCGCAGGCTCCCGGCTCCCGAGTTTCTGCCCCTGCCTCGCCCACCCCAGTGGTCTGCCTCATCCCGCACCATTCATCTTGGTGCCCAGGCCGAGCGACACAGAGCAGAGTTGGCATGGCCTCGGTGCCCGCATCCCGGGTCGTTGTGGCACGATTCGGTCCCACAGGTGGTCACCAGGAACCCGCGGACCCTGCTGCACCAAATCCACCTGTCCTCAGATGGGAGGGCGTGGCCGGCCTGATCGGTCTTGGCCGGGGGTCCCTCTGGCGCCGCGTCCCCGCTGGACGCCTGGGGGGCTGGGGGCGCGCTCGGGTGCGGATGTAAGCAGAGAGCACTTTGTTCCGGGATCGGCAGGGACAGAGCGCTGTGGCAGTGAGCAGGTGCGCGGGACCGGACCGTGACTCCACCTTCCAGCCACCGAGAGGGGCTCCAGTTCGAAAGCGACCACCAGCCCCGCGGGCGCGGCGGCCCCCGCCTCAGCCCCTGTTAATCTCTCAAACCCGCGCGTTTGCCACGAGCCGGGGCCGGTGGGGGCTTCAAGTAGGAAAGGGACGTTGGAGATCCGGCCAGCGAAACGGAGGTACTTTAAGCGATGAAATGGCAGTAGCAGCCCCACCCCGTACCCCCTCGCTCCGGAGCCCCGGAAGCCGCCCCATTCCACCGGGAGCTGATCCGGCCGCAGTTCGGGTGGCGGGCGCGGCGGGCTGTAGCGCACCAGCTGGGCGGGCGGATGCTGCCACCCCGCGGCGACACCGCGCGACGGCCGCACGTGGGCAGCCGGCAGGGAGGTCGCGGACGGCAGGCCACGCGGACCCCACTCGGGTGGTGGTACCCCACCACCCTGGCGCCGAGTCGGAGCCACAGCGCGCCCCACCACCTCGGGCTGAGCGTGGGTCCGCAGGGCTGGGGTGGCCTGGCCTCCGCGCCTCCCCTACACCGGCCGCACTGGCCCAGCCAGCCTGAGGCCGCTCATCTCCAGGGCGGGACGCTGCGTTCCTCCGCGGACTGCGCGGCGTGCCTCAGTTTCCCCGGGCGAGCGCGGCGTAGGTCTGCGCGGGAGAACTCGCGGGCCCGCGGCGTGGCGTAGTGCTGCCCCCTGCCGGCCGCGGGAGGAAGGGCACCGAAGGAAGGATGGGCGGAGCCAGGAGCGATCAATCCCGGGCGTCTGGTTTCTTGTCGCCTCCTGGACTGAGTCCCCACTGCGTCCCCAGCTTGATCCCAGATGGGATGTGTGGAGGTGTCGGAGATCTGCGACCCAGGCAGGTCCCCCACGCACAGGTGACACTGCATGTTTAACAGGATGATGGCCAGGGTAGGGCTCCAACCGCGAGGCTGGAGTGGGCATTCAGCAGGAAGGGGGCGCGGTGCTCCGTCCGCTCTGGATCCAATACCCGCGGTTCGTCTTGGGAGTGAGGACGCCCTGGGGTCCTCAGCGACTCAGATTACCTATGGGCTCGTAGGGCTCAGCAAATTCCTATGCATGTGACCTTGGCTAAGCTTACAAGTTCGCCAGCCTGGGAATAAGAGTCATAGTGGGAGGCCGAGGCAGGAAGACGGCAAGTTGAAACCCAGCCTAGGCAATTTAGCAACTTAGGAAAACTCGGTCTCAAAATAAAAAGGAGGGGCTGGGGACAAAGCTCCGTGTTAAGACGCTGTGTTCAATTCCTAGCACTGCAGAAGGAAAAGAAAGAGAAAATAATAACCATAACCATAGCACCTGCCCCACAGGGGACATTCTGTGAGTTCACCCCAAAATGATTACAGTGCCTGGCACACAGGGCATGGTCACTGCCCAGACCACATCCTGATGCCTGGCAGGACTGAGCGTGTGGCCGGGCAGCACAGGCAAGTCCGACCTCACTGGGGCTGGGCCTCCCTCTCAGGGGCACTGCCTGGGGGGTCCTTGGGCAGGACAGAGCCCTCAACCTTAGGTGTGGGTGGAGGCCCAGTAGGCGCTGGAGCCGGCCTCACTCCTGCAGGCTGCCAGCTCCCTGGAGCTGCTGCCTCCTCTGAGGAACAGGGGCGGAAGTCCATCTCTATGACTGGTGGCACCAGCACATTCTGCCTTCTCTGCATCTAGAAGTCTTCTGGTGGGAGGAGGAGGCTCTAGAGCCTGGCGGGGAGGAGCAAGGCCCCTCTGGGGAGAAACAAGACTACTCTGTGCGAGTGGGGTGGAGGGAGAGCCGTGGGTGCTCACCCGAGGGTCCTGCATTTGACCTCGAGGACCATGGGAGCCATGACGGTCCCACACAACAGAGCACCAGGCTCAGCTTTCCCATTTGGACAGCCCATGTGTCCATGGGCTGTCCTTCACAGTGTCCTCCAGGCCCTAGCCCCAAGGCACATGTCACATCTGACTCATCTCCTTGTCCCCAGGGTCCAGAGCAGAGCCAAGGAAGGGCCTGGTGAGAGTGAAGATGGGTGGGTGGGTGGATAGATGGATGGATGGATGGATGAGGGAATGGATGGATGGATGAAGGGATGGATGGATGTGGGGATGGATGGATGGATGGATGGATGGATGGGAGAATGAGGGGATGGATGGATGAGGGGATGGATGGATGGATGGATGGATGGATAGATGGATGGATGGATGGATGGATGGATAGATGGATGGATGGATGGATGGATGGATAGATGGATGGATGGATGGATGGATGGATGGATGGATGGATGGATGGGAGAATGAGGGGATGGATGGATGAGGGGATGGATGGATGGATGTGTGAGTGGATGGGTGGATGGATGTGGGGATGGATGGATGGATAGATGGATGAGAGGATGGATGGATGAGGGGATGGATGGATGGATGGATGGGGGATGAGGGGATGGATGGATGGATGGATGAGGGGATGGATGGATGGATGGATGGGAGGATGAGGGGATGGATGGGTGAGTGGATGGATGGATGTGGGATGGATGGATGGATGGATGGGTGGATGTGGGGGTGGGTGGATGGATGATGGATGGGTGAACTTGCTGTGGGAGGCACAGCATGCCATCCTTCTCCTCTGTGGGCCTGTGTAGTCTGCCAAGTATAGGTGGGACATTCCAGTTTTAATCACTGAAAGTTATACCTCTCAGGGTCCCCCCAGGGCTGGACAAAAAGGATAATCAGTCACTCTAGATCTAGGAGAGAAGAATCCAGAGTTTTCCTGGCAGGAGGCTCCGGGACTGGCCCCACCGGGCTGTGTGCTGTGTGGGAACAGGAACGTACGGCTGGCCTTCCCGCTGCACTGAGTGGGCAGGCACTTCGTGACCCGCGACACCGCAAAGCAGGGCGGCTTTTATCCCCACGCTTGACTCGCTGGCCTTCCACTGGATAAGCACAGTTAAGCACTGATGTCCCAGCCCGTGCTGGGCTTGGAAGGGCACCGTGTCCATGGCCCCTCCGTGTCCCACAGTGTCCATGGTGTGCTGGAGGGGGAAGGAAGGATGCAGCACAGAGGAGGAGCTCCGTGCAACCAAACCCTTCCCGGTGCCGTGCCCCCCACCCCGTGTGCCGGGCGATGCCCAGGATGGAGTGCTGTCCCCTTGGAGCTGCACGCCCTTTCCCAGGCTCAGATCTGAGACGTGCCCCCCTCCTCTTTCCCGTCACTCCCTGTCCCTGTGGGAACTGCTGGGCCTGGCCCTCTCCAGCCTGACCGCTCTCCTCTCCCTCCTGCACTGCTACCTCTGCTCAGAAAAACTGCCCCCTTGCTTTCTGGACCCACCGCAGCAGGGGTCCCAGGTCCTCTTGTCGCCAGGAAATGGCCTGGTAGCCGAGCTTGCCCAGGTCAGGCATAGCGGGGCTCATGCTTGCAGGAAGAAAATCCAAAGAGCAACTTCCCTGTAAGCTCAAGACAGCATTTGAAGGCCCCTAGTACACCTCACCAACACCACCAATGTCATCGGCATCACCGGTGCCACCAGCATCAGCCCATCTCCGCCATGCTGGGCTGCAAGGGAAGCTGGGAGCTGTGGCCTGGTGAGCTGTTGTCCAGGGCCAGCCAGCACGGGATGACCGGGAGAGGGACAGTTGATGCTGGAGGGCAGCTGGCAGCCCCGTCCTCCCTTAAACATGGCCCCCACGTGGCCCTCCTGCTGCCCTCCTATCCCCGTGCCTCCAGTGTCCCTGTCCGGAGGCAGCCTCACTCCTGGCTGGGTGCAGGTCACCCTGCACCAGGTGTCGCAGTTCCTTCTGACCAGGCAAACTCCCCGGCTTCCTCCTGTTCCCTGTCCTGAGTGCTCTCTAGTTCTTTTTCTTTGTTTTTTTTTTTTCTGGTACCAGGAATCGAACTCATGACCTTGCGCTTGCCAGGCAGGCGCTGTGCTGCTGAGATAAATCCCCCGCCCCTGTGCTCTCTATTTCTGACTGGCTCTGATTACCTAACAGCAAAGCTCAAAGATCTGTACCTAACAGATAAATGTGCACTTCTTTTTCATAAAAGAAAGGTCGGCAGAGTGGTAGGAGCTCTACACCAGTCCTC